CTAATCATTGTTGAATAAAATCCTCTTGAACATAAAGCACCTTTAATCTCCAAATCTTCATCGCTTTCTCCATCTTCACTTTCCTCAGAGATCGAATCTCTAGTATCCTTCTTCTTCCTTCAACTTCCATCAGAGATCAAATCTCTAGTATCCTTCTTCTTTCCTCTCTTGCCAACTTCCTTCTGATCACAGTCATATCCACCCATGATCTCTTCTCAATCACTCTGATCATCATCATCATCATCATCATCATCTTCATGTTCCATCTTCCTTAACCTCACTCCACCCTTAGTTTCCAGACATCTCGTTTTCTTCCTACTTTTGGAGTTTTGGATTCATCTTTATCGTCGTTTCTGCTTTTCCTCTCTCTATTATTCAATCACTTTCATCATGTTGATGACGTCAGGGTTAAAAGTCCCTTCCACTAGCCATGGTTGTTCAATGTCAGGCCAACGTTTATTCCCTTTTCCAGATAACCTTGCAATACCATTAACTAAAGGATTACTATTTTCTACTACATCAACAGGAGTAATTACTTTCATAGTTTTTATGTCCTTTTTCCCCCTTGTAACAACTCTTTTATATTCCTTTATTGTAAATTATTTCATTATTTTAGACTATGTAGCCTATAGTTCCCTCTTTTTTTTTTCTTCCCCAAATTAATTAATTAATCAATTAATGTATTAATTTATTTATTTGTATCAATTTATTTTATTTTATTTTATTTTACCAAATTATTGATTAGTGGCAATCTTACCACATCCGATCAGGAAAGTAAATGAAAGTAGTCACCTTAGAGCAATCCAAAAAATAAAGACCTCTAATCCTGTGTAGTGTCGAGTTAATGTGGCTAATTATGCTGTAACAAAGGAGTCCGCTTATACTGAGCTTTGATCATAAGCTTTATTCATATCACAAGATTTCAGCATAAGTTTACAGATGTCTATAGCATCCGGAGAACAGAGTCCCAAAATAATAAGTCTGTTCTAATGTTCTTTGTCTCTAGCCCATACTTATAATCTTTACAAAAATATGGGTGGCTCCCTCTACTGTCCAATCACCTGTCTCCAACAAACAGACTCCCTCTGTTCTATGAGGTGTCACTCTAAAACGGCTCCCTCTGAAACTGAATAAACATCCTCTCAGGTTCCACTTGAAAACATTAGCAAAGTCATAATTCATCATACACCACTACACCTGCAACACTACAGCACTCACAAACCCCATTGCTTAATAAGCACCCAATGACCTTAGTTTTACAGAATAATGTCAGTACTCAATTTCCCCACTCAACTCTAATCAAACCCACTCATGCACAAAAACTCCAAAATGCAATTCTTAATTACATCAATTGATCAGTCTGTTGCCAAGTCCTTGTCAAATTGTCATAACATCAAATATGCTAGGCACCCAAAATATCCTCTATGGGAAGGTAAGTTTTGTAAATAGAACAGTACTGGCCTTGATTTGACTTGATCCGTTGCAGCACACTCTGTCGCATGATGCACTCGTCAGCACTTCCTCTCTCTCTCTGTCTCCTCCTTCTTATCATCTCTCATATCACAGAAGAACAAAGAAACAGACAATAATTTAGTAGTTTATGCACTCACTGGGTTATTACAACCATCCAATATTCCTCTAGTCACATTCGCTCTGAGAAATAAGCAAACAACTTAACTCAGGAATAGTATAAATAGCTCAATAACATTTTATTTTATTTATTTATTTTATTATTTTTTATTTTTAATCCGTCAACATATCTCTCTCATTTATCAATTCAATAGATCTCAACAAATAGTTTCATCATTAAGCAACAGCCGATTTAACAAACAGAACATTCTATTCGTGTTCAAATCTCCCCCACTCCCTGTCTGTCTGCTCTGTTCTGAGTCTGCGTCTCCCAGCAACTCAGTGCAGGCAGAGGAGTGGCACATTTGCCCTACGTAACTATAAACTCATAAAATCACACGCATACGTAGTACATTCACCAGTGCGATTTCAGAGTGGATGGAGCTCTCAAACAACTCTCTCCCAGCTAGACGACAGAAAGTAAACAGTCCCGCTGTACTTCCTCTCTTTCCCCCCATAGACAAACAGTAACACTTAACAGAACTCACAAACCAACATAAAACATCGAACACAAATCCTACTCTCTTCTACACACATACACATACAGTTTAAGAGGCTTATTTCCATTCCTACGGACCCCTAAGCATGCTACTATCATCACGCCATTTTTTTCCTTTGTCCCTAAATTTTTGCTACCTCGAGTTCCGCGGATATTCAATGAGCGGTTACATCAAACATATAATTCGTCAACTATAAGCTGAGCGGTAACTTGCAACTGAATGTATATACCACAATCACCAGTCCCCGAGACTGACCCAAACCCACCTAATGTGCTTTTAGGATTTTCGGCCCATCCTAATGATCGTCTCGTTAGAGGGCTTTCCTAGATTCGCGATGCCCTAATTTGTATACATTTTTCTTAGTTCCTGGCCTTTCCTTCATTGTATTCATTTTGAATTTTATTCAAGCAAAATATCCCTATAGACAATCCCCCCTGTTTGCGTTGCTTTCAACGCAAACAAATTAAAAAATTTAGAACGGACTCCTATCCCACAGCAAATAACAGCAAAGCACACACGCAAGTTCTTAACGGTGCATTCATTCAATGCACACACACAGACACACGAACTGACCAGTGCCCAAAGTAGTGAGAAAACTCACCCTTATCTGCCGGACTCTGGAGCGATTGTCAGCTCGGCGCCCATGAATGGAACGCTGAGAAAAGACGCAACACGGCCAAATACCTCGTCGCCATTTTGTGGTGTCGAGAAAACTATGCTGAGATGCTGTGAAAACAAGAATTCCGCTGACACTGTACTTTGATTATAAAGGTTTATTTATATCAAAGTATTCCAGCGTCAATTTACAGATATCTGCCGATATCTGGAGAACAATGACCCCAATCTGTAATATGTTATTCTCCCCTTCCTCTGTTTTAACCCTTGTATTTATCCTATGTAACCTGATATGGGTGTTTTCCCTACAGACCAATCCCAGGACTCCACCTAACAGACTTCCTCGGCTTTAGGGTGCCCCTATAGAACTACTCCCCAGATGCTCCCCTTAAGCTGAGTCAACATCCTCTAAAACCATTTGAAACCATTAGCAAAGTCATAAATTCCTCAGATACCACAACCGTCTATCTATCTGTCCATCTCTGCCTTTCACTGTGTCACTGTGACTTTCTTTCTTACTCATACTCTCCTTTTGTACTTGTCACACCTTGTCTCTTCCCCCCTCTCTCTCTTTCACTCTCCCCTCTCCCTCCCCTCTCTCACTCTCTCTCTACCTCTCTCTTTTTCACTCTCCCTCCCATTCACTCTCCCTCCCACCCAGTGGCGGCTCCTGAAAAAATTCTCAGGGGGGGCAATTTTTCTGATGATTTAGGTTACCTACACACATTTTAAAAAAGATATGTCCAGCAACAACATGAAGACAGGGGCAGCATATAAGTCAATACCAGAAGCATTTATTGACTGATCTCAAAAGTGTTGGCTTACAAAAGCAAAATAAGTTATCACAGTAAAAATAATCAAGGGTTAGGGTTCTTTCGCATTCCTCAACACTGCATAAACAATATGCATTTCCATAAAACACCTCATCTAATTGTGCCACAAAGTTGACAAGTCCAAGAAAAATACCAGGGTTGGTGGAGCCCTCAGTTTCATCTTTGCCTCGCAAAGCTAACTCAAACACTCCGCAAAACTTCACACACTGGATTAGCCGGCTGAGGATGTGGCGGTTCTTGCTAACCTCATCGTTGTGGCGGCGGACAGCTAGCCTGTATCCCTCATCCAGTTGAGTGGCAATGTTCACTCTCCCCAAAGCAAACAATCTCAAACAGCTATCCATGTGGGTCTTTGACAGCTCATGTTTCTTAATCTTTTCTGAAAGATGGTGCATGTCCGTTACACCAGTCGCTGTCCAAGCGGTGCTGTCTGCCGTGCCGCCTTCAGGGTGAAAGAGTAAGCAGGGGTAGCAGAAGACTGCATTAGCTACATCGCAGCCTGCTAGCCAGGTTTTTCGTTCGTACCAATTTTTGGAAAATCCTCGGGTGTAGGACTTTCCCCCTTTAGTAGAAACCTGTTGAATTATTAAATTCGGTCTGGGAGGTCCTAATTGTTTCGTTGCCAATTTATCTTGATTTGTTCGCCGACAAAAAGGAACTTCTTTCAAAGAGACAATCGAGTTGCACTGAACGCTAGCTATCTTGACAGTAGTACGTGAATTGATTGACGCTGCTACCCGCTCTTTTCTTAGTTACGTTCATGGTTATGTTACGTATGACGAAAGCGCGTAAGTGCAAGCCCTCCCGGAACCCATAGAGATTGTATTGAAAGCTCTGATATTTGAAAAAAAAAGATTTTACATGAGAGTCTATGAGAGACTTCTGGGGCGATTTTCAACCTGACTGAAATCGCCCCAAAAGGGGCGGGCCATTTGAAGCACGACTTTAGCCTGATTGGACATTTAGTGGCAGATCAGACGTCTAGATTAGAACACTGATAACTACTGTTGCCGTGATATAATTGATTAGAAAAAAAATCCCTTCCTTTTCCCGTTTGGCAGTGCGTCGCCCATATCGCCCTAATGAACACACCGCCCCTGCTCCCACCCCTTCCTCCCTCTCTCCTTCTCCTCTTGTCAAGTGTTCTGACAGCTCCACAGTTGCTGTGTGCCTCCCTGCTCTGCTGTCGAGCAGCAGGGGCCTGTCCTTAATGACACACACACAGCACACACACAGGCATGCAGACACACAAACACACACACATACACACACATCGTTGCTCGACAGGAAGGGAGGGGAGCTAGCTAAAGGGACTGGACCAAACAAAGCCTCTCACACTATCTAAATGTCTGTCTGTCTGTCTGTCTGTCTGTCTGTCTGTGCGTGCGTGCGTGCGTGCGCGTGCGATCGGTTGTGTGGTCAGGTGGGAGGTGGACCCAGACTACTGTGATGAGGTGAAGCAGACTCCTCCCTATGACCGCGGCTCTCGCCTGCTGGACATCATGGACATGACCATCTTTGACTTCCTCATGGGTGAGGACAGAAGCTCCATTACACGCTATTCCCTCCACTGCACTCTATTCCCTATATAGACATTCTTGGTGAATAGGGGTCCTCTTTTCCTGTGTATATTAATGTTGTTTACCTCTGTATCCAGGTAACATGGACCGGCACCATTATGAGACTTTTGAGAAGTTTGGAAACGAGACATTCATCATCCATCTGGACAATGGAAGAGGGTGAGGAGAAAACACAGCACATCTCAACCCTTTTCATCTGTTCTCTAGGCAACTGGTAATGTCTGATTTGTCACATAGCCTTTTAAAACTCTCTTTCTTTAACTTCAGTTCTGAGTTGTTACACTAAGCAACAGGACATAGCAACAGCTCAAAGCAAAGGCATAATAAATGTTTTAAAGGTATTTTTAAGGTCTGAGGGACGCTGTGCATTTCAGAATCAAGCTACAAAGGCATGTGGAAAAACTCTCGGTCCCTGACTGACACTCAATGGGAAGGGAATGTGAGTGGAATGTTCCATGAGAATAGAATGTTCAGGACTCTGGAGCTTAGCTTTCAGTCTGATGCCTTTCTCACCGATCCTGAGAGATGTACTGCTTTTGGTGGCTGTGAGACAGTCTGTGAGAAACACAAACCAAGGTGTTGTATTATCAGCCAGTGAGTGGTGTTGCTTGGCTCACCTCTCTCCTCTCCTGTCCTTTCTCCTCTCTCCTACTCTCCTCTCTTCTTTGCAGGTTCGGGAAACACTCCCATGACGAGCTCTCCATCCTGGTGCCTCTGAGCCAATGCTGCAGGTCAGCATCTGTTATTTTACCTTCTCTCTCTCTCTCTCTCTCTCTCTCTTTCTCTCTCTCTGTCTCTCTCACGCTTTTTCTCTCTCTCTGTGTCTCTCTCTCTGTCTCTCTCTCTCTCTCTCCTCTCTCTCTCTCTGTCTCTCTTTCTCTCTCTCTGTCTCTCTCGCGCTTTTTCTCTCTCTCTCTGTCTCTCTCTCGCTCTCTCTCTCTCTCGCTCTCTCTCTCTCTCTCTCTCTCTCTCTCTCTGTCTCTGTCTCTCGATCTCTCTCTCTCTTTGTCTCTCTCTCTCTCTCTCTCTGTCTCTGTCTCTCTCTCTCTCTCTCCATCATAACACACACTCCTGTGTAAACTGCTTGCTTGCGCAGTCTGCAAGTATAATTAGTGTGCTTTTCTTCTTTTGAAGCATGTTTCCCTTTATATTCCTAGGATTCTTACTAGATGTACAAGTGCATCCCTTTTTAAGAAGTCCATCTGTAAAGTAAGACCTCTTGCCTCTCTGCCTTCCTCCCTTCCCCCTCCCCTCCCTCCCTCTCTCCCCTCCTCTCCCCCTTCCTCTCTCCCCTCCTCCTCTGCTGCCCCACAGAGTGAGGAAGTCGACCCACCTGCGTCTGCAGCTGTTGGCCAAGGAGGAGTACCAGCTGAGCCGTCTGATGGAGGAGTCCCTGCTGCGTGACCGCCTCCACCCCATCCTCATCCAGCCCCACCTGGAGGCCATGGACCGAAGGCTGCGCCTGGTGCTCCAGGTCCTGGCTGTCTGTGTGGAGAAGGAGGGCTACAGTAACGTGGTGGAGGTGGACTACAGAGGAGCCAGAGGGGGCAGGGACACAGTCACCCACAGGAATCCAGGGCACAGGTAGTGAGGCTAGCTAGGAGGAGAGGGAGATGGGAGGTGGAGAGGTGATACCCCTGGTTCTCGCCGCTCTCCCCATCCTGGACCTCCAAAGAAACTACCGTTGATGGTGAACCAACCATGGGTGTCTGGTCTCACGGAGAGACTGACTGGATCCTGTGACTGTGCGGGAACCGCCATTTTGAATTCAGTGAATTCCGAGACTTGCCGTCAATGCCTCTATGGAACCTCCCATGTATGAGTGTTTATATATAGGTACTGTTGGTCCACAGATATAGCAGTGAACTGAGGAGAGAAGAGACCTGGTCTTTGCTTAGGACAGATGTTTTATTACTTCTCTTGGACATGATAAAGAAGAACCATTTTGATTTTACTTTGTTGGTTTTCTTATGTTATGTTTTTTGGGTTGTTTGAATGCGAAGGCTATCATTGTTTGCTCGGGTTTGCGCTAAGCTAGCTACAGTATCTTTGTGTTACGCAACCAAATGAGATTTTACTTTAACAAGTAAAATGTGGTTTGAGCTTTATTCATGCACAGTAACTGGAGGAATGGAATATAAGGTTTATAAAGCTTTAATTTTAGAGGGAGTGTATGAAAATAATATAGTATATTGTCTATGATAAATCTCAGTGTGACCGTTACTTATCAGTTGCCTCCATTTTCAACCCATCACTATCTATGACAATGCTTTACGCTTCCATTACTATGAGACATTATAGAGGAGGATGTTTACGGTACAGAAATGACCTGGTATTTACTAAGAATTTACATGGTAAAATGGTAATTGCACAGTAATACCCCATTCATTACTACATAAAGTACTTGTTTGGTACTTTGGGATTCAAACAAACACTGCTATAGACACCATTTTGAAGCAGGTAGTTCCCAAATAAGCATAAAGTATAGCGTAAGCACCAGAAAGAACTCAGTGATGCCACATAGTTTCCTAATAAGAACCACCTAAATACCAATCGAAGCAGTACACCATTAAATAAAGTGCTACCGGTTTCCTTTTCAATAAAGCTTTCAGTTCAACTTAAATTCAGCGTTCAAAGCCTGGATGGAAGCAGCTTTCTTACACAAGGGCTCTTTAACAAGCACCTCTCAGCAGCCCATAAGTTGACTAGCGTTGAGTGCCCTTGCCCTCATCCATTAAAATTAGATATCGTTCAATCTTTCCATTTCTTTTCATCAAAGACCTCCATCAAAATGTGTCACTCGTTCATGGTTGGCACTTAAGATAATTGCTGCCCCATTTATTCAGAAATTCAGCATTTTTGACTGAGGAACTTCTAAATCAATGCTTTGCTGGAATGGCTGGAATGGCTGGAATGGCTGGAATGGCTGGAATGGGCTGGAATGAAAACATGCTGTGTGGTTTACAAGGACATGTTTTACAAGGACATGAGAATAGCCTTTACAGGAAGTTGAAATAGCTGATGACAGTGTGACCGACATAGCTGAAACGTTTGTTTTTGTTTAGTTCTCTCTCTCTCACACACACACACGCTTTCTCTCTCTCACATACACACACACACACACACACACACACACACACTCAGTCCCCCTTACACACACTCAGCACTCACAAATTCTAGTTTTCCAAACTACATGAGAAGCTTTGTAACACTATCTTACCCTGAGCTGGCGTTCAGCCCTTAATGCATTCAGATTGTATCTGCTCACGTTAGCTGAGCATATCTGTTCTGGTCTCAACTGTCATGGCATGGCATTCATAGTTTACAGTATGTGGAGACAAAGGGTACCTTCCAAATGGCATCCTATCCCCATAGGGCTCTGGTCAAAAGTAGTGCACTATATATGGAATAGGGTGCCATTTGGGATTCATACAGATAATAATACTAATACAGGAGTATGTAAATACTGCCATGAGAGAATATAAATCTGACACTATTAATTTAATTGGCCTTCGAGCTCTTGGTAAAATCCCCATATATCTGCATATCATGTAACAAATGAGAGATTTTTGGTTGTTTTCCCCAAAAATACATTATCTCTTTGCCTTATCCCCGATTAGATTATTTTATTACCAACAATCTCTCACCAGTTTTGCTTACACTTCACGCAGCCTCAAGTTGACGTCCGTAACATCAAAATTGTTATTTTGGAGACGGAAATAGTCTAGTCTCTCTCCATGTGGCTGTAAAGATAGGTTGGAACTGTGATTACAGTGTATGCCAGGATACAAGTCAGATGCACTGCCCCGTTGTCATGCCATTCATCTTTTATACCAACTAGAGTTACCATTACAACACCAGACAAACATAAAATGCCGTTTTCTGTTACAATCCCGGCTACACAATAACTCACAATGTTCCTGTTGTATTGTTCAACGCTTTTCCAACTGATATGATTAGTTATTGACGTGTCATAACAACATTTAAAAATGGAAATAAAGGGGTATCTTCTAAGGTTCTTCTTTTTTTTAAGCATTCCTCTTTATTTTTTGGTTCTAATTGTGTTTTGGTACTATTTAATGTTATGTCCATTTTATGATCTGAAAAACTGGAAGTGTTGAGTGCAATGCAGGTGTTCTATATTCCACTTCTAGAATCTGGCTACGTATGGTTTACCTGGTGCCTGTGCAATGACGGATATACTTGAATGTTTCGGGTGGCCATACGACCAGGACTACAACTACATAGAGTTCACACTACAGCCTGTGTGGCCTGGATCCCCAGACTAAGGTGGACCTGGAGAGAGAGTGAAAGAGTTAACATTTTACATTGACATTTTAGTCATTTAACAGACGCTCTTATCCAGAGCGACTTACAGTAGTGAGTGCATACATTTTTGCATACTTTTTCGTACTGGTACCCTGTGGGAATCGAACCCACAACCCTGGAGTTGCTCTACCAAATCAGCCTTCTCCTCCCAGCATACAGCAGCAGTTAAAGGGTTAACTCAGCCCTAGGCGTTGTACTTGCGATTTTCATATTCTCTCTGTAAATATCTATAAATATGTTGGAAGACCTAAGATGCTGCAGTGCTGCGGCGATACGCTTCTGTTCTGTTTTCTCATATTGCATTGTTACTGTGAAGATCTGTTTGCTAAATGATAAAGGTGTGCAATAAAACAAAAATTACAACAAAGTGTGTGTGTGTGTGTGTGTGTGTGTGTGTGTGTGTGTGTGTGTGTGTGTGTGTGTGTGTGCATCCGTCAGTCTGAGTGCATGAGTGTACATGCTTGTACAAGTGTGTTTGCCCATGTGTGTGTGTGTTTGCGCTTGTGTGTGCACAAGTGTGTGTGGTGTATCTGTTCTTGGAAGGGGGTCAGAATATGAAATAAGAATTAGAGAGATATTTTAACATCTGGCTAGAGGAACAATGCTTGGCCTGAATAAAGAGAGAGAGAGAGGTCGGTTGTGAATATGCATTTTTCAAAGTGCTAGAAACGCAGCCAGCCATCCACATACAGTGAGGGAAAAAAGTATTTGATCCACTACTGATTTTGTAAGTTTGCCCACTGACAAAGACATGATCAGTCTATCATTTTAATGGTATGTTTATTTGAACAGTGAGAGACAGAATAACAACAAAAAAATCCAGAAAAAAACGCATGTCAAAAATGTTATAAATTGATTTGCATTTTAATGAGGGAAATAAGTATTTGACCCCTCTGCAAAACATGACTTAGTACTTGGTGGCAAAACCCTTGTTGGCAATCACAGAGGTCAGACGTTTCTTGTAGTTGGCCACCAGGTTTGCACATATCTCAGGAGGGATTTTGTTCCACTCCTCTTTGCAGATCTTCTCCAAGTCATTAAGGTTTCGAGGCTGACGTTTGGCAACTCGAACCTTCAGCTCCCTCCACAGGTTTTCTATGGGATTAAGGTCTGGAGACTGGCTAGGCCACTCCAGGACCTTAATGTGCTTCTTCTTGAGCCACTCCTTTGTTGCCTTGGCCGTGTGTTTTGGGTCATTGTCATGCTGGAATACCCATCCACGACCCATTTTCAATGTCCTGGCTGAGGGAAGGAGGTTCTCACCCAATATTTCACAGTACATGGCCCTGTCCATCGTCCCTTTGATGCGGTGAAGTTGTCCCCTTAGCAGAAAAACACCCCCAAAGCATAATGTTTCCACCTCCATGTTTGACGGTGGGAATGGTGTTCTTGTGGTCATAGGCAGCATTCCTCCTCCTCCAAACACGGCGAGTTGAGTTGATGCCAAAGAGCTCCATTTTGGTCTCATCTGACCACAACACTTTCACCCAGTTCTCCTCTGAATCATTCAGATGTTCATTGGCAAACTTCAGACGGCCCTGTATATGTGCTTTCTTGAGCAGGGGGACCTTGTGGACGCTGCAGGATTTCAGTCCTTCACGGCGTAGTGTGTTACCAATTGTTTTCTTGGTGACTATGGTCCCAGCTGCCTTGAGATCATTGACAAGATCCTCCTGTGTAGTTCTGGGCTTATTCCTCACCGTTCTCATGATCATTGCAACTCCACGAGGTGAGATCTTGCATGGAGCCCCAGGCCGAGGGAGATTGACAGTTATTTTGTGTTTCTTCCATTTGCGAATAATCGCACCAACTGTAATCACCTTCTCACCAAGCTGCTTGGCGATGGTCTTGTAGCCCATTCCAGCCTTGTGTAGGTCTACAATCTTGTCCCTGACATCCTTGGGGAGCTCTTTGGTCTTGGCCATGGTGGAGAGTTTGGAATCTGATTGACTGATTGCTTCTGTGGACAGGTGTCTTTTACACAGGTAACAAACTGAGATTAGGAGCACTCCCTTTAAGAGTGTGCTCCTAATCTCAGCTCGTTACCTGTATAAAAGACACCTGGGAGCCAGAAATCTTTCTGATTGAGAGGGGGTCAAATACTTATTTCCCTCATTAAAATGCAAATCAATTTATAACATTTTTGACATGCGTTTTTCTGGATTTTTTTGTTGTTATTCTGTCTCTCACTGTTCAAATAAACCTACCATTAAAATTATAGACTGATCATTTCTTTGTCAGTGGGCAAACGTACAA